TGAAAAGCCGTGCACTTCTAAAGCAAAGCCAAAGCCAGTGCCAAGAAAAAAGACAAAAGCACCGATATGGAAAGCTGGTCACTTACCACCGTATTTGGATGAGACCTTTCCATTTCAAGGAAATACCAATCATTCAACTTGTATCAATGAACTGGAGACACCGGCAGACTTTTTTAATTTTTTTTTCAACGACGATCTGATGAATTTCTTGGTTGATCAGTCAAATCTATATGCACTCCAAGTTGATATAAATAAGCCCGCTAGTATTACTCGAATCTATCTATTGGAATTCGGCTCTTGGTCAAGAAATTATACATGGCACAATGAATTGCAACCGATGAGTTGCACTTTAACAATAATACCGATAATAATAACGATATGAAGTTGGCAGGGGAAGCCGGGTTTGACAAGACTCGCCCGGTGCTGGACAAAATCCGTAATCAATTACTGCTCGTACCTAAGGAAGAACATTTGGTGGTTGACGAGCAAATTATTCCCACGAAGTGCCGTCACCACTTAAAACAATATAATCCCGCAAAACCTCACATTTGGGGCTTCAAAAATTTTGTCTTGAGTGGAGTATCAGGTCTTAGCTACGACTTTAATATTTTTGTGATACATATCCGGAGGGAGCGCCTAATTTGGGAGTAAGCGAAAATATTGTATCTAGGCTATCGGCAACCGTACCAAAAGGAAAACACTACAAATTATTTTTCGACAATTGGTTCAATTTGCCAATTCTTTTGCTGCCCTTCAAAGAATTTTCGGATACGTCAATTAGTTTAGTAATCGCATGCGTCTCCCTACGCTCACGGTGTCTGATCTTCAAGGCGGTACTCTGCTCTTGTCTCGCCTTGTCCAGCGCTCACATTTGTGGGATGACATCAAATCATTGCAGTCAAAGGTATTGGTGCACTCATCCAGCTCGCTCGCATCTCTCTCGCCATTCATTAATCAATTTATTGATCTGATGGTCGGCTAAGGAATTCCTCGCTGGATCTTAATGGGCGTCATCCAATTATATTACCACGGAGTCATTCGGTCACTATTTCCATTATTGCTCACTTTCATGAACGCAATCTGCACACTGGGCCACGGGCACTACTCGGCATAATTCGATTCCAGTATTGGCCTATTGGGGGGAGGAAGACGGTGATGAAGGCAGTAAACAAATGTATTAAATGCTTTCGAATGAAGCCTCGAGTAGTGGAGCATATAATGGCGGATCTTCCAAAGATACGACTTGATGGATCTCATGCATTCGAAGTCACTGGCATTGACTTTTACGGGCCAGTTCTCTACAAGTCAGAGGTGCGAAGCAGGCCTCCAGTAAAATTTGTTTCGCCACAAAGGCTATTCATTTGGAGTTGATCAAGGATCTTTCTACGGTGTCGTTTCTACATGGCCTCAAAAGATTAATATGCACTAGAAGAAGGCCGCGGCAGATTTGGTCTGATAATGCAACCAACTTTGTTGGCGCTCGCAATGAGCTGCTCGAACTTAGGCGCCTATTCCTCAGCAATGATTATCAGAGCTACATTGGACTTTTGCCTAGCGCAGGCTATTGATTGGTGTTTCATTCTTCCTAGGTCGCCACACTATGGCGGTCTTTGGGAAGCGGCTGTGAAGATCGCTAAGCATCATTTGTTTGCTATTTGCTGTTTTAGCCTTTGAGGAGTTGCGGACCCTGGGGTGTCACATTTCGGCGGTTTGTAATTCTCGACCATTAGTCTCGATTTCAGAAAACCCCGCTGATCTGGATGTATTAATTCCAGCAAATTTTTTGAATGGTGGTCCGCCTTCCTCTTTCGTCGAGCCGGATGTGAACAGTCTTAACTTCAAGAGAAGAAGATCTTTTGGTCCCGATGGAAGGAAGAATACTTAACACTACTGCAGCAGCGCTTCAAGTGGTGCACCACAAAACCTGGCCTGGTTGTCGATGACTTAGTTCTGGTCAAGGACGAAAACATGATTGATTCTGTTTGGTGGAGATGGGGTAGCTCGAGTCGCCGTTCTGAAGATAGCATCAGGAATTCTGAATTCCATCTCTTATATTAATTGCATCGCGAAAGGTATCTCTCAGCATTCGGTCATTCGGTGATCTCGACGTTAAACGCACTCTCGTCTCGCCTGCTGCGCTCTCTTTCGCTAATAAACTGTTAGCAGGCATAAAGCAACCCAAAATTTCGTATTTTAATTTTGCAATAACTAAAAAAAAGCGTATTAGTTCAAAAAATACTTATAGTAATTATAATCAAAATAAAAATAATTCCTGGAACCCGAGCAGGTTTAATCAACAAAATCAATGGAACCACAGAGTAAGCCAGAGCCAATGGAGATTAAAACAAGGAAGAACGCTATAGTCGAGTACCTCGACTATCAGATACCCGTTACTCAGCTAAATGGAGATATGCAAGCAGCAAAGCGAGATTAAAATGCGCCACCTACCGGCGGTATACAGATTTAAGCGTTATGGGCGTTAGAGTGGGCGTGGCAAATTTTTTTTTGGATCAATCGATAGGTATCGACGAGACCAATACATTTTAGTTAAAATTTTTTATCTAGCATGAAAATTGTGGGCGTCACAGGTTTTCGCGGTTTGTGGGCGTTAAAGTGGGCGTGGCAAACTTTTTTTTGGGTCAATCGATAGGTATTGATGAGAACAATACATTTCAGTTAAAATTTTTATTCTAGCATCAAAACTGTAGGAGCCACAGTTTTGGGCGGTTTGTGGGCGTTAGAGTGGGCGTGGCACTGTGCCGAAACAAACTTGCGCTGCGTAAGAAGCTCAGGAATCTGCACGCCAAATCTCAATAGCCTAGCTCCCATAGTTTCCGAGATCTCAGCGTTCATCCGGACGGATAGACAGACGGACAGACGGACAGACGGACAGACGGACAGACGGACATGGCTAGATCGACTCGGCTAGTGATCCTGATCAAGAATATATATACTTTGTGGGGTCGGAAACGCTTCCTTCTGCCTGTTACATACTTTCCGACGAATCTAGTATACCCTTTTACTCTACGAGTAACGGGTATAACAAGAAAGGAAGTTAGCTTCGGCATGCCGAAGCTTATATACCCTAGAAGCTATAATTATTAAATTTAAAAAAACAAAAAATTATATTCCCAATAGTATAAGATAATATGTCAAAAAACACCGAAGCTATAATTTGTTTCATATTATTTTCCTACCAATTTTCCGATCGTTCCTATGGCAGCTATATGATATAGTCGTCCGATTTTGATAAAATTTAATTCGAAATTCAGAACTATTTAAAAAATGTTATTTCCAAGTTGGAGGTTATATGTTGAAAAACACCGAAGCTATAATTTGTTTCATATTATTTTTCCACCAATTTTACGACCGTTCCTATGGCAGCTATATGATATAGTCTTCCGATTTTGATAAAATTAAATTCAAAATTTAAAACTAATTAAAAAATGTTATTTCCAAGCTGAGGAGGTTATATGCTAAAAAACACCAAAGATATAATTTTTTTAAATTTGTTTTTCCTATTATTCTTATGGGAGCTATAAGATATAGTTGTCCGATCCGGCTGGTTCCGACTTATATACTACCTGCAAAAGATATAAGACTTTTGGGAAAGTTTCAGCCCGATAGCTTTAAAACTGAGAGACTAGTTTGCGTAGAAATGGCTAGATCGACTCGTCTAGTCATGCTGATCAAGAATATATATACTTTATGGGGTCGGAAACGTCTCCTTCACTGCGTTGCAAACTTCTGACTGAAATCAATATACCCTCTGCAAGGGTATAACAACTCATACAAAATACATTCAAAACCGCCGAAAAAAACCTCTGCAACCGCTTTTAATAGCTACACAGAGAGAATTATTCAAGTAATTTGTACTCAAATTGAGTATTTTTGTACTCAAAAATTCAGCATGAACAAAAATTCTCACATTGAGTGCAAAATACTCACTTTCAGTACAAATTTCTCAAAAAATTTGTACTTAAATTGAGTACGTTTGTGCTCTTTTTTGAACATTTTTCCTCAATATGAGTACAAACTGCACTCATTTTAAGAAATAATTTAGCTTGAATTTTAGAATCGAGTATCCCCTTTTCTCAAACTGAGAAATTTCTAGCGCTCAAAATGAGAAACAAGTTCTTGATAGTGAACTAATAAATTCTTAAATGAAGAACTTTTGCACTTAAACCCGCTCCACCCATTCCCAGAAAAAAGGTAAAATATTTTTTTTCATTATATTTTGTAATACAGTTATATATATACAAACATATTATTATACCCGTTACTCGTAGAGTAAAAGGGTATACTAGATTCGTCGGAAAGTATGTAACAGGCAGAAGGAAGCGTTTCCGACCCCATAAAGTATATATATTCTTGATCAGGATCACTAGCCGAGTCGATCTAGCCATGTCCGTCTGTCCGTCTGTCCGTCTGACCGTCTGTCCGTCTTTCCGTCTGTCTGTCCGGATGAACGCTGAGATCTCGGAAACTATGAGAGTTAGGCTATTGAGATTTGGCGTACAGATTCCTGAGCTTCTTACGCAGCGCAAGTTTGTTTCGGCACAGTGCCACGCCCACTCTAACGCCCACAAACCGCCCAAAACTGAAACTCCTACAGTTTTGATGCTAGGTAGAAAATTTTAACTGAAATGTATTGTTCTCATCAATACCTATCGATTGACCTAAAGTTTGCCACGCCCACTTAAACGCCCACAAACCGCGAAAACCTGTGACGCCCACAATTTGGATGCTAGATGAAAAATTTGAACTGAAATGTATTGGTGTCGTCAATACCTATCGATTGATCCAAAAATAAATTTGCCACGCCCACTCTAACGCCCATAACGCTTAAATCTGTCTACCGCTTTTTATTTTCGCTTTGCTGCTTGCATATCTCCTTTTCCCTTTGAGTAACGGGTATCTGATAGTCGAGGTACTCGACTATAGCGTTCTTCCTTGTTTTTTATTTAAGTTTATGTTCCATGTTATGGGTTATGATATTATTCCCTTAGCTGTCTGGTCTAGCGAAGAGCAAAGAGGCTGAAAAAAAAAACGTTATTGTTAGCAAATATTGTAAATATATAGCATATATATGTACATAAGCATGAAACAATAAAATTAGAATGTTATTAGATGTACATTTAAAAAGCATTTAACAAATTATATGTATGTATGTATGTATGTATGTACAATGTACGTATAAACTAACACAACTAGACTGCTTCACGCCACTTACAATCACACATACATACATATTAATGAACACGCTTTGACAATATTTTTGCAGTGTTTGTTTATTTTATCATTATTTAGAACATTATAAATACAGTTTAAATTAAAAAACTTACCCTCGAGGTACGGAAGAGTCGCACATACATATGTCCAATTCACTGAAATAGTTTTTCACCTTTGTGTCTTGCGCACGTCTTCACTTTGCTAAATCACACGGCAAATGACAGTCACACAAATGCGGCGCGCACCACTTTACGCACCCATTAGTGAGAGAGAGACAACCATATACGCAACGAACTTAAGGCCGCTCTTGTCTCGCCTCGTTCGCAGTACGGAATTCTCTAGAAATTCTTATGAGAATTCGCTACTCATTTTTGAGTTTATCGGTTACTCATAATGAGAATATTAATTCTCAAGTTGGAAATTGAAGAACACATTTCCTCAAACTTAGAATTTTGCGATCAATTCAAGTCCTTTTACTTAAAATGAGTGAAGCTTTTCTCAACATTAGTTTTTTCCACAAATTTTGTACTTAAATTGAGTACATCCTCAAATTGAGAATACAAATACTCAATTTCAGAACGTCATAATTTTCTCTGTGTACCACTTTACACACCCATTAGTGAGAGAGACAACCATATACGCAACGAACTAAAGACCGCTCATCTCTCGTCTCGTTCGCAGAACGGAATTCTCTAGAACCCATTATGAGAATTCGCAACTCATTTTTGAATATATCGGTTACTCATATTCAGAATATTAATTCTCAAGATGGAAAATGAAGAACAAATTTCCTAAAACTTAGAATTTTGTGATCAATTCAAGTTATTTTTCTTAAAACGAGTGCAACTTTTCTCAATATGAGTTTTTTCCACAAATTTTGTACTTAAATTGAGTACATCCTCAAATTGAAATTACAAATACTATATTTGAGAACGTTATAATTTTCTCTGTGTACTCTTAGCTTAAGGCTTAGGAAATTCGAATGGTTGCATCGCGACATCTTATGCCAAGGTTGGCTGGACCTTAACTGACCATTTATTCGTATCTTGATTACACAGAGATTGCCTTTCCTAAACCTGTGTCAAAGTTGCACACCTATATTTACCTACATAAATCGATAGGTACCCTTCAGTTCCAAAAAAAAGTTTCACTTGTGAATCACCTTGTGAATCCCGTGGGATATGTCCTCTTGCACAAGTGAAGAGCAAGTAACACTCCATATAGACAATTGTATGCGATGTCCGTTTATTTTTCGAATTTTTCAATTGTTCCTTATACACATTTGTCGTATGGCCTGTCACGTGCCGATGACACGTCCCACGTAAAATCACTTGTGAAATTCAGAATATTTCCAATGAGTTTTCACTTATGAAAGTATAGAATTTAAAATACATACATTTTTAATTACATTTAAATTCATTTTAATTAGATAGTATTATTCAGATTTTCAATTATGGGACAGTTATTGTTAGTATTTCCGTTTTTTTTGTTTTGTTAGTTTGTTTTTCACGTTCGTCATCGCCTTTCTCAAACATTTGTCCGGGTCCTCGGAGTCCTTGGGCAACGCTCCTGAAATAATGTATGGGCATAAGATTAAAAAATTCGTATTACTTGTTTATTTGTATATTTACCTTTTAGAGCTGTGTATAAACCCTTTGCGAGATTATTTTTGGCCCAAAACATTTCTTCATCCTTTCTCGGCTAACGGAACCCAATGAATACCTTCAAAACTTACGTACCTTAAACTAAGATCAATGCACCACATCTTAAACTTAATGTAACACTTACCTGACTTTATTATATTAACTTAAAGGAACGATTAAAGTTACTCTGCTGCGCACAATTAAAATGGATGCATCCCTTTCAATCACTCAAACAGAATGCACCAAGTCTTCTTCTCACCCCTTTACTTGATTTCATTTATTTAAGTTTACTATAATCAAAAAATTTACTTTTATAAAACAATATAGTTGTTTTTTTTTATATACAATAATGCTCCTAAGACATTAGGGCATTCACATGTCGCTGCTCCATGAAAATTTTTCCGCAGAAATGTTAGTTGCTAGCCGAACATAACAGAGAGACGCAAAAGAAATAACGGATCGACCGAAATTTGTCTCTGAGAGCGCCGAGTGCAGACAGATTATAAGACAAAGAAAGAGAGGGAACCTCCGGATATCAGGCTTTCTTTGTTGCACGTTCGTTTTCGTACTCAGTCTTCTAATCTGCTGCATACAAGGCTACGGAAACTAAATCTAAGATCCCAATTCTCTATCTCTGATAGTTTCCGAGATACCCGCGTTCATACTTACGATTTTTTGAAGTTTGTGGGCGTTAGAGTGGGCGTGGCAAACATTTTTTTTGGTCAATCGATAGGTATTAATGAGAACAATACATTTCAATTTAAGTTTTTGTTCTAGCACTAAAACTGTAGGAGCCACAGTATTGCGCAGTTTGTGGGCGTTCGAGTAGGCGTGACACACTGACGAAACAAACTTGCGCTGCGCAAGAAGCTTAGGAATCTACATGCCAGGTCCCAACTGTCTAGCTTTTGTAGTTTCCGAGATCTCTGCGTTCATCCGGGCGGACAGATAGACGGACAGACGGACATGATCGACTCGGCTAGTGATCCTGATCAAGAGTAAATATACTTTACGGGGTCGGAAACGCTTCCTTCTGCCTGTTACATACTTTCCGACGACTCTAGTATACCCTTTTACTCTACGAGTAACGGGCTTAAAAATACTTTGATCAGATCTGAATCTGAAGTGGGTAACCAAAGCGAATTTAGTTTGGGATATAAAATACAATACAAATCCTGAATTATCCGACAACCACAAAATATACAATATAAAACAAGGAAGAACGCTATAGTCGAGTACCTCGACTATCAGATACCCGTTACTCAGCTAAAAGAAGCAAAGGGAAATGGGGATATTCAAGCAGCAAAGCGAGATAGAAATGCGCCACCTACCGGCGGTAGACAGATTTAAGCGTTATGGGCGTTAGAGTGGTATTGACGAGAGCAATACATTTCAGCTAAAATTTTTATTCTAGCATCAAAACTGTAGGAGCCACAGTTTTGGGCGGCTTGTGGGCGGGGCACTCTGCTGAAACAAACTTGCGCTGCGCAGGAATCTCAGGAATCTGCAGGCCTAATTCCAGTATTTAAGCTTGTATAGTTTCCGAGATCTCAGCGTTCATACGGACAGACGGACAGACGTACAGACGAACATGCACTGGTAGAAAAAACACGAAGTGAAATCAAATATATTTTTATTTTATAATATATAAATATAATAAAATAATATATACATTACTAAATTGACATATAAAAGTTATTAAACTTAAGGACTTATTTGTACATATTTTGTTATTTTCTTCCCCATTACTTTGACCTCTATTGTAAAGTAACGGCACGCGACAGAATTTGTCCGTCCTTTTTGCACACATGCATATGTATGTATGTACATATATACGAAATATTTTGACACTCCGCTTTGTAGCGAATCCCGCAATCACTTCGAAGCAAGCGGTTCTCCTGATCGGATGAAAAAGTGATTAATAGAGTTTTAGTTTTTAGAGAGAGAGTTTTAGAGACAAGTGTTCATTTAAGTGAAGTAAAAAAGTGAAAAGTACAGCAAAAAGGTGAGTCAAATAAAAATACAATAATTACTTAATATTAAGGCATGTGCATGTCCACGTTTTTTTGTCGCATTTTTCCTTGAGTTTCTTCTTTGTTGTGCGCGTTATTATTTCGTGATAATTTAGATAATACATTTGAAGAAATTAAAGCTTAAAAGAGCATTACAATTAAAACAAAAAAAAGACATACGGTTGTGTAATTAACATGAAGTGGATAAAAAACACGCGAAAGAAATGAAGAATATTAAAGGAAATTAAGCGAAAACCCGCGCAAACAAGATAAAAGGAGTAGAATGCACGAGAAGAAAAACACTAAAAAGGCGCTAAAAAGACGCTTTGCTGCCGTTGCATTCTGCTCTGTGGCGTCGCAGTCGTTTCACCTAAATCTTTATTATATTTTTTGTTCTTTCACGTGATTTTTTTCTTTGAGTTAATTTACTGATCCAACATCCTTTTAAGAGCGAATTCGGTTTATATTCGGAATTCACAAAAAATAATTTTTCGCATTTTCGATTTTATTAAGTTTTTTTTTACGAATAATTCGGTAAGTGGTAAACACGTGTTTCAGGAATTGGCCGATATTACACTTATCTAATTTTTAATTTTTTTAAAATAAAAGCAAATTAAATTAAAAAAATATTTTGGTATTATTTAAATCCTTATACATAAAACAACCTACTCGAAACTTAATATAATACTACTTAACTTTTTCTTTATATATATAAATTGATTACAACATATTGTACCCTGTACCCTGAGAAAGAAGCAAGGAAAAGGTTTTTTGGTTTTATGAAGAGCAAATACAAAACAAAGAGTGTCATAAACTATTAAAGACAGCTCAAAAAACTGTATCAATCGGTAATATGTAATTTTAATAAATTTAAACTAAACTTTTTGCAGGTTAAATTTTATCTTCTTATAATACGCTTGACTTTTTCTAAATTATGCCATTACCAAAAATCTAATAATATATTCTTGTTCACAGATTCCAAGGACTACATTTACTCTATATTGTCTGTACTGTCGGCCGTCATTAAGGAAACCAACAAGCGAAAGAATTTCTCACTACTGGACTCGGAAAGTTTTGAACGCACATGCAGGCGTAGGAATGTTGCAAACTTTACTAGCTGCCCAATGCATATGTATTATATAAATTCTAAGGGTTACGTTAAGTACAAATGTATTTAAAACAAAAATAATGATAACGTGTTAGTATGGTAAAAAAAAGAATGTAAGCAGAAAAATTGTTTGGATGATATGTTTAAGTTTATTTTCAATAAAAACACATTGCATACTTATTTGTGGCTTTTTTAAATATAAATCAAGCTTGTTTTAAACTACGGATCGGTTTAAATTGAATATGCACCATAATAATATGGCTTAAATACTATATTTAAATCAAACATAAAGTACAGTTCTTTTAACGGGGATTATATTTAATTTAAATACAATTTGTATTTATATTAAAGTTCATCCCAGTCTGATTTAAATATGAGAATTATTTAATCCAAATAAAAATATGCTGAGTTTGAGGGCGGGCTATAATTATTTTAACTATAAAAACCATTTAAATGAAATGTTCAATTTACTGGAACTAAAT